TAATGGCCAATATTCAGATACGACAAAATTTTTTTATCATTATAATGAGTTAAACAGATTTTTTTAGAAATATGTAACTCGAAAGCATTAATGTTCACGAAAAACTCGGATTCGTGGAAGTTTCGTCTGGTATTGAATGGAATGCAACAATTTCTTTAGTTTCCCATCAATGTGAGAGGCTCAACGATGTCAGCAGAGAGTGATGGATGGCAGTGCCGGCAACAACCTGAATTTTGCGATCGTCAATAGGCAAGTCTGAAGAAGCTTGTTGGTGCTGCGTGGCGACCAAATACCCAATGGTAGTACGGTCATAATGGATCTGAAGGCAATCAATATTGCATGTGCCTCAGGCCTTCAAGGAGGCCTATTTCTGAGATGCCTACATGCAGTCTTGACGCCTTCAGCCTGTTGTCGAATTAGAAAATTACTAAATTACTTTGCGCGCTTGTAAAGAGCAGCTCTGGTAAATATTTGCAATTTTGGTATGAGTTAAATCATATCAATTTATTTTCTTACATTATAAATAGTACAAGCAAAAAATTTCTTCTCTACGTTAGACCTTTGAAAATAATAAAATAAGTTTGACAGCAAAGAAAATAAGAAGCTGTTTCTTAAAAAATCATCCCAGTTCACTGCATTCTATTGAAAAGGAACCTCCTTGCCCAGAAGATATGAACTCCGTTTAAATTTTATGGTTATAAGAAATCTTGGGATTCTTGGCGTGGAAGAAGTCGAGCGGAATGTCTGTGCAATGACTCCACTCACCGAGCAGAGTTCGATGGCGCGCATTGCAGGATAAATATTGTCCTTTAGAAGCTCCTACAAGCTTCCTCGTGCCAATACCGGGTCCCGTGTCCTGTACGGCCATTACCGTTCGTTAAAGTGAAGGGCGTAGTTACGGCTCCATTACGGACCGTTACGGCACGCTACCGAACGCTAAAGGCCGTCTAGCGGCACTAAAGGAAAGCTCCGGGCAGCTTTAGCTGAAACCGAGTTTTCCAAATGCAGTTCTGCAATGCACTAGCAATTTGTTTTCGTCCCGTATACGCATGAAACTTATGTTCCATGGAAACAAGATGTTCACAAGATCTTTGGGTCGTTCCTACTCCTCAGGCAAGTTTTCTTCTATAACATATACGGGTTGCGGGACCAATATGAAGCCGCATGCCACATAAAGGCACGAACAGAGCGAACTGCCTGCACCTGAAATTTAAGAATCGTATTAGTATTATGAGCTTGTGGTTGTGAGTTATAGCTGAAAAGTTTTCTAACTTACCCTTTTACATTTGAATTCCGGGGCTTCAATGGTTATTTTAAGTAGCGTAGTCACCTTAATCTAAACTCTAATGTCTGTTTCTTACATCAAGCCAGGTATAAATGATCACTCGAATCGCACTCAGAATCATCAATTGTCCTGTGATTAAATTATTTGTTTTGTCTTCCGCGTACACGTTTAATTGAAGGAGTCCAAACATTATTTCTTTACCGGTTCGGCGGCAGAACAATTTTTGACTGCAGATTTGGCGTCTTTTCCCTTTTGGAGTGTTTCCAAAAAATTAACGAAACTTTCCGTGTATATCTTACACCTTGAATCACATATAAATCTAAGTGCTATATCATCTAAATAAATATTACCCTTTATAGATGCACAAATTTTACCCGAGACAAAGTAAGGAAAATATATTTTTTTTGAAGCACAGGAGCAGAAAATTTAACACTGACGTTGTATGTGTTTTGTAGTTTGGAAAGGAAACAACCACCGTAAAGGACAAATACAAATTCCTCTTTCAAAAGCAGGCATTTTGTTTCCAAGGCATTTTAAGTCTGCGCGCATTGAGAGCTGAGCCTCTTTTGTAACTGTTGCAACAACGTCAGACGTACTGCAGAACAAATTATCGGCTTCACGGCATCCATGCATTCAGTACCGGACTTTCATCTGTTCTTTTAAGTGAATGGTAAGCTAGTTTTCGAATTCGATTCCTATTGGTGATAATTAATTACAAACCATCGGTGTTTTGAAACTTGAAAAGTTGAGAAACACTAAAATTGTGGAGAAAAAATTCTTTATTTATCGTCAATATATGACACAATACATCGAAAAAAATATTGTATCCTCCAACTTGATAAATTATAATAAATTTACGGAAAATGTATTTTATGCAGAATTTGTTATTTATTAACCTGTTTTTGGTGGAGTTACCTTAGAATTCTAGGCAAGAGAGGAAGACTTCTACGCACGGGAGCCAATATAGTAATGAAAATCTCAATTTGCAAGAATCATAGTATTACATACAAATGAAATCGGTGCCGATTAGTAAAATATTTATGGTAAAGTAAAGTAAATATTGTGCCTAAATACCGTAGAGTTTTGCACGGCGCGTTTCCATTGCGAGAGCAATTCCTGGTAAACCATGCCATGGACCCTTTCTATGTTCTTACATAGAAAGGGTACAGACTTCACAATAATTGATAAAGACAATTTATGGTTTATCGTGTTATGATTCGTAAGATGAAGTGTTTTGTGAATATATTTCTTTAGAGTTGCACATTCATTCTCTTTTCTCAACAACGTTAATCAAACAAATATTTCCTTGTCGGAAATTAATGCTAACAAATAAATGTGAAGAAGTTAAATCATATATGTGCAGGGAAAAGTTTATTAACTTTGTTTTAGAAAGTCTATTTTTTATATATCACTGAGATCAATTTAGGCATCTTAGGAACATTGAAAATATATGCCTTTATAGCCTTATACTAACAATGATATTCTAACACTATTATTGGTAACTTCTTAATGTATTCTTGGCATTTTGTTGATATTATATCAATAAAAAATTCGATATTAAAACATTCATAGAATATGTTTTGAAGGATGATGCCTCAAAAATAAATGTCCCTACATGGACAGAAGAAATTTAAATGGAGGAAATTACCTACTTTCTTTTTCGACGAACTCGATAAATTTATTTGTCAGGTTTCGGCCGTTGAGGCTATAAAAGGCACGTAAGGATCCTCTACCCGGCAATAACATAACGAATTTATAGGAGGGAAAATAAGAACACATAGAAAGATTCGACACTGCCTGTACTATAATAATCAGACACAGACTCAAATACAGAAATTGGACAGAGTTATTGTAAATAACATTGGTATAACACCGAAGTTGTTCAATATATTGAACCGACACCGGCAGCTTATTGCTGAGTTGTTATAGCTTGCTTCTCACTCCCTGCTAAAATATCCGCCTCTATGGAAATAAAAGAACTTGGCCTATACTTTCAAAAAAAGTTATGAGATCGTAAGTTCATCAGCCAATCATTGACGGCCTTTCAAGCAAAATACACCAATCATAGACAAGAAACTAGAGCGTAAGTACTTACATACGTTCACTTAGCGAGTTTTGAAAGTATGGCCTCTGCTTAACTTTAGTTCATCAGCTGGTACATCACCGGGTTTGGGACGAAGGCACCCCTGTTTAATGTGAAAATTTGTGATTACTGCGATTAACATGAAAACTTGGGTTGTGCTGTCATCAATTTTAGATAAGTGAATAATCAATATTGGTTCCAGATTAAACTTGAGTACTGAGCGAGGGCAACCAGACATCAAATTTACAAGTTTTCGTCCTGAAGACAGGACGAAACAAAACATTTTCAGGATCCGATAATTTGTTCTGGATGGTACAGAGCGAGACGTTAGTCTGAACCGGCATGCATTAATCGTAGCATACTATGGGATAGAAAATTTTACGGCATTTTCAGAACTGGCGTTACCAGTCTTGATAAATTAAGCAATGTTTGGCATTATTAAAAATTATTTATACATAAATTATTATCGCAGACCAAAATGTATTGGGAGTCAATGGGTAACAATTTTACAACTGTTACACTAAGGAATGATAGTAAAGCCAAACAAAAGATGGATGTAAAGTAATAGAAAGGCTCATCAAAAGAACAGGCATGTCAGTAGGTTGTTCGAATGATCTGGAAAATGTTAGGAGTAATGAACCCTAAATCTTAATCTACTCATATTTGACCCTAAACAAATTACCCAAAAATGAATGTAATCTATCATAAACATCCAATTCGGAGGTTAACCCCAAACCTAAACTATGGTGAGCCTCATTTAAATCCTACCGAACTAGTAATAAACGAAAAATTTATATTAAGAAATTAATGCGACAAAATTCCTCCACAAAAGTTATACGAAAGTAGAAAATTATCTTTGGAAAAATAGAAGCACAGAGGTCATGCGTAAGGTTACAGGGTGCAGATGTTGCTAGTACGCTGCCAGTTACAGGGTGCAGGAGATGTTGCTGGGTACGCTGCCTGTTACAGGGTGCAGGAGATGTTGCTGGGTACGCTGCCTGTTACAGGGTGCAGGAGATGTTGCTGGGTACGCTGCCTGTTACAGCTGTCTCTTATACACATCTAGATGTGTATAAGAGACAGACATAACATAACATAACATAACATAACATAACATAACATAACATAACATAACATAACATAACATAACATAACATAACATATAACATAACATAACTTATGGTAGATCGGTATGTGTCTAAAAATAATTTAATTCGGGATATTTTTTGCCTTTTTTTGATTATTTGTCCATTGAATATCTGAAACAATTTGAATTATAGTTTTTTAATAACGAGTTACATTAGTAGTTTAAAGCAGATTTAATTGAAGACCAAAAAATTTGTTTCATTGCTATTTTTCTTATTAATTTTTTAATCATATCGAACACTATTTTTCGCTTGCACTGGTAAGTCAAAAATCAGGGTACCGATGGACATTTTGAAAAAATTAATAAGAAAATTGTCAATGAAACAAATTATGCAATGGTCTGCAATGAAACCTGCTTAGAGAACAAATTCTACCAACCTATAATATGTAGTCTAAAGTATGCATATATCCACATAATAGAATCTTCAGTCATAATTTCCTAAAATAATGTTTTTATTTTAGGAAATTAATTTTTAATTCCGAATTTTTAGGGCGATTGATGCTCAGCGGAGTTCTCTGCCAGCGTCCAGGAGCTCCCGGGACATCGACTCCACGACGTACCGGGATTACGATACCGTGGGTCATAATCCAAGAATAATTACGATACCGTGGGTCATAATCCAACAATAATTACGATACCGTGGGTGATAATTAAAATATAAATATAATTTATACTTATAATATATATATGATTTATAGTTTATACTTATATTATTGCCGGGTTTTTCTAGTGTCACCTATAAGCTAGATTGAAATGTTTTAAGTGCACTAATTGACAGAGAGGAATTTGCATTGAACAGCAGAGCTCATTGAACTGAATTAGTATTCGCGACCAAGAGCACTTAGTCTAATTAGTGCATATTACTGCATTGAATAACAAGGCAAACTACGGTAGATCATGGGACAAAACTTGCTTCATGATTAATAAATCACACTGCATCTATTTGTGCTGCAAGTTTGAACGTGTAATTTATTGCAGGAAGCATGACGTGAGAATGGTATGTACGTATATATTTCAAACACGCACGAAATGCGTGAGGATATTCATATATCATATATATAGGATATTCAAACATATCCTACGTCCCGTTAACGTACGTCCCGACGTCCCAGGTGAATCTTAGTAGCAAATATTGATTATGCAGAGCAAAATGTCAAATAATATTAACCCTGCAGCCGTAACGCTAAATTTTAAGCAATTCATATTATTAAGACAATTATCTATGGCTTTTGTTCTGGATTCTTGAAAATGAATTTTGTTCAGCACAAACTTGATTCTGTGAATTCCTTCATTATTCATTAGATGATCCGAACCCAGAATTGATATATATTAATAAAGATTGATTTCCGTATCACATCACTTATGGTGTTCACCAAAAAATGTCGTCACAAGCGCTTCCCACCCGTCCCCCAAATAAATGAATGCAATGATTCTGCCTTTAATGAATATAAATGTATAAGTACTATTATCTATAAATTAAGTGACATTAGAGATACTACCAAAAAGTTTTATGAAATTAATGCTTTTATTCGTAAAATGGATTGACTTTATGTATTATTTATGTGTTCTAGATGTTAAGGCGTTTTCCCAGGTTAAGTGTTTATGGCAACGTTTTCAGTAAATGAACAAATGCCCACAGCTGCTAGGAGAGCTGGCGCAGTTGGAGGCTGACTTCCCCAACCTGGTCTCCAGCTATGAAATCGGAACGACGTACGAAGGCCGTACGCTTAAAGTCATTGCTGTGAGTTATATTATATAAGATCTACGTAAGAAGGCTGCATGTGCGCTTAAACATCTCAGTGAGTAGTATTAAATTCGAACGGCGTTCGAAAGCCGTACGAGGTCGAAACTTCGAAGAATAAAACTACAGAATGTCACAGACTAAATGAGCACATTTTTATCTCGCTGCCCTTTTTTCGTAACCTCTTAACTTGCACTATATTTTTCATTATAACTCAGAGATTAACTGAATTGTTAATATAAATACTTTACAAGCATAACTGACTTAAAATTTTGGGTACGTCACTTACACTTTAGAAAATCGTTTGCAGTTTGGCTAATGAGTTGTTTAAAATTATAATTTTTGTTTTCTGGAGACAATTTCTGGAGACCGTATTTCATTTAATGGAGCATTTTTCGTCGATAAATTGCTTGTGACGGAAAATTGTGTCCAATCAATTTTTTAATGATAATCTAAAAAACTGAACGCAAAAAGGCACAATGTCACTCAGTATATCTAATATGAAAATGTCGAAGCAGCATTTGATGGCCTCCTTTTCAATCAAAAACACAATGAAAATTTCGGTTCTTTTCGGCCGAAATGAAAGTAATTTAGTATTTATGTTACGCGAAATGTGTGTGTTGGAATTATTTTCCAACCTGTGAATTTTCGTGCGCAGAAAATCTTATCGTTTGACCTAGAGCTTATCAGAGTAGGTGACCCTTGCGTTATCTCTGAGCGAGCAGAACGCCTCCTGCCTCTGCAATGGTCTTTGTTCGAGTGTAAAGATTCAATTGCAAGTCTCGCGGGCTATACAAAGACAAGTCTTCGACAAAAGTCGTCCAAACATTTAGGCAAATTCCTTTCCGTCCCTTACGAGAGAAGTTCAAATTGACAAGAACGAAAGGGCAAAAACCCAACACTTTGCCGACTGAAGACGTTACAGAGAAACGGGTTCGCAGTTCCAATGAAAAGCTCTGAGAAAATTGAAGTCGTGTCTTCAGGTGTATAAGATCAAATGAAGCCACTCGTAGCAGAACACAAGATTCTCAGAAGAACATCAGCAAAAAATATCAATAGGTTTTTATACTTCCGCACATTGCGCAGATTTAAAATCTGACTGCCTGAGTGAACATCGAAATATCTTATTGAATTAAAGGGGATCTCGCCTCGGAGGAAATGCGCCGAAAAAATTCAGCTTAGTTCTAAATTCCGTGCAAGACTTTTCGTTGAAAAAAAGGCTACTACACGAGAAAATTCCCTATAAATAATTTCTTATGAATGGAGCTTATTAATTTGTATTGTGTTCAGTAATATACCTAAACTGTTCAAGTAACGGTTAATATCTGAAGACTTTGGTGAATTGCTTGGATATTTTGAAAGTGCAAATCAAAACCGGTATAATTGGGTTTAAGCAAAAATTATTTTTTCACACTGTATTTTTCTTAATTGTCCTTTATCACAGCATACCAAAGTTAATCGAGATTCTCACGCTTTAGCTGATCCATAGCTTCAATTATTTACATTATTTGCGAGGTTGAAATTTTTAAATGTGCTTACCTCAGTCGTCAAGCTCCCAAGTTTAAAACCTTTAAAGTAAAACCTTTAGAGTAAAACCTTTAGAGTAAAACCTTTAGAGTAAAACCTTTAGAGTAAAACCTTTAGAGTAAAACCTTTAGAGTAAAACCTTTAGAATAAAACCTTTAAAGCAAAACCTTTAGAAAAAACCTTTGAAGTAAAACCTTTGGAGTAAAACCTTTAAAGTAAAACCCTTAGAGTAAAACCTTTAAAGCAAAACCTTTAAAGTAAAACCTTTAAAGCAAGACCTTTAATATAAAACCCTTAAAGCAAAACCTTTAGAGTAAAACCTTTAAAGCAAAACCTTTGATATAAAACCCTTAAAGCAAAACCTTTAAAATAAAACCTTTAAAGCAAAACCTTTGTAGTAAAATCTTTAAAGTAAAACCTTTAAACTAAAACTTTCGAAGTAAAACCCTTGAAGTAAAATCCTTAGAGTAAAAACTTCGAAGTAAAACCTTTAACGTTAAAACTTTACAGTAAAAACCTTTCCATAAAATGTGCAGGTTTCTAGCGGGCAAGTGGCGAACGCCCCGGTAATCTGGCTGGACTGCGGTATCCACGCCCGCGAGTGGGTGTCGCATGCCACGTGTATGTACGTCTTGGACCAGCTCACATCAGGGTACGGATCTGACGACGTCGTTAACGCGCTCCTCGCTGCTTACGACTTCCATGTTCTGCCCATCACCAACCCCGACGGCTACGTTCATTCCTGGGATGCGGTGAGTGAACACTGATGCTGTAATGGTTTTAATATTTCACTAGTAATTTTAATTGAATTATAAATACAATAGTTTTAATTAAACATTAAGATGAGTGCTATAAGCCTTTCTCTAACGATAGTAACTCTCGGTAACAGGCCCAGTTACCCACGTCGAATAGCGTTGGTATGGGTTAATGACCAAAGTTAAGATGGAATCGATATAACAACATTACGTTCATTCAACAAACGAAATTATGTTTTATCAATATTTTATAAGCATTATGGAAGAAGCTGGGATTGAAAACAGAACAAGCTTATTATGCACCAATTAAAACAAATTCATTCATGCACCAATTTTAAGCCAAATAATTGAAGCGAAGCAGATGTGTTTTTATTAAATATTCGTCAAACTTTAAAATGCAAAAACAATGTTGTTTTGTTGAATAGTTTGGGAGATTTTTTAAAATAAAAACAGGATCGACTGTGGCGGAAGAACAGAGTTCCGTACGGCGCTTGTTTCGGCGCCGATGTCAACAGGAATTTCGATTCCAACTTCGGAGGAGAAGGAGCTTCAGACTTGGCTTGCGCTGATACTTACCATGGTAAGTTGATTAATCTTATTTTTGCTCCTCTTTCTTCGTTCAAGAATTTGTGTAGTTGGATCCCTGGCACCTGGAAATTTTTTGATCGTGCTTATGTCTTTTTATTGGGACATTTATTTTTCAAAGAAATATATTTTCGGTTAAAGTACTTCGTGGAAGTACAATGAAACATTTCATGGATTGTTTACTTCATTGAGTCCAAAAAAGGCATAGGTATACATTTATGTATTTAAGCTCATCACCGAATAGTCATTGCATCAGTTTACTAAAATCACCAGTCAGAACAGATGTATCCTGAAAATTCTCTCCGAAAACTATCCGCTGATGTTAACTATCCGCTGTTAACTATCCGGTAACGAAAACTATCCGCTGAACTTAAATCGATTATAAATTAAAACTTAGCTTTTAATCAGTAACTATTGTAAACTCTAACACTCTTCACTCAGGACCCTCAGCTTTCTCTGAGGTGGAGTCCGCGGCCATAAGAGACTCGCTCATAGCTCTGGGGTCGCGTGTGAAGGCCGTGTTCACGCTGCACTCTTACTCTCAATACTGGATGTTCCCTTACGGCTACACTACAGACCGTCCTGCAGACTACGACGAGCTGGTCTGTAGAGCATATAGGAGTAATAGATGTATGCAGACTACGAGGAACTGGTCTGTAGAGCACATAGGACTGTTAGATGTATGTAGACTACGAGGAACTGGTCTGCAGAGCATATAGGAGTAATAGATGTATGCAGACTACGACGAGCTGGTCTGTAGAGCATAAAGGAGTAATAGATGTATGCAGACTACGACGAGCTGGTCTGCAGAGCATATAGGAGTAATAGATGTATGCAGACTACGACGAGCTGGTCTGTAGAGCATATAGGAGTAATAGATGTATGCAACATAAATAGACTTAAATTCATAGCACTCATTCCATTATTGACAAGTAAGCTACGAATCTTTCAACCGACTCTGTGGTTCTGACCGGTAAATATTTATGAAATTAATGTTACTAATTAGAAATACAAGAGGATACAAAAAATACTAGTGGGCGCAAATTTCAAGGCAGGGGTCAGACTTGTCAAAATGAAAATACAGGAATCAAAGGTTCAAAAATAATGAACGTCTTAGTTACTGTTTAACTGCTGATCAATCGGGTGCAGAGTGGGTAGCATCGTCTTTCAGGCATCGAAAAAAGAGCAGAATTAGTTTACCAAGTTAAAATTTTCTTCAACTCATATATAAATACGCCAAACTATAACACAAAATATCTACAATAAAATAAAAGGAAACTGAATTATTTTTTCAACACACAGAACCGTGTGAGCGCTCTGGCCGTAGAGGCGTTGACAGCGGTTCACGGCACCAGCTACGTCTACGGCAACATCGCTGATGTCATCTGTGAGTGGCGCCAGGGGGAACTAATATTTATTGTCCTTCAAATGGGGCTGTTTGTTCTCGGGCTGGGAGAGGGAATTTGTCCTAAACTCTCTCGGAATCTATTAACTAATGAGAAAAAACATTTCGAGACATCAAATAATAATGAAATTAATTGCTATCGCTTCATCAAGAGTGTCTTAAAATTTAATTTTTCAAATAAACTGTAAGAAATGGAGAAAAGTTTCTGTCAAATAAAAAATCTTGATTTTCAATTATTGAGGATGGATAGAATTTCTATCAATGCAACATCTGAAGTAAAAATATTGAATGGAGATTAGTTTTCATAAGTTCAAATAAAACCAACTCTGTTTATTTCATAATATTCTCAGCGATACATTGTTTTTCAATAAACGGAATGAACTCGTCAACTTAACATGCTATAGACGAGATAAATTCCTGTTTTCAAGTCGCTACTTCGATTATCTGTTCGTTAAATATTTTGTATCTTGACGATGATCAGAGGAGCACGAGTTGAACGAATTGTTCAGCGACAATAGAAATAACAAATCGTCATTTCTAGAACGAGCTAAAAAATAACTGACTGTATTACCAATAAGCAATCTGAATTCCTGTTTCAGTTCATTTCTTTCTAACGCCAATAGCGGCATTTCTTGCTACAATGCTTTTCAATTCTAGTTTCGTAATTGAAGTAAAATGTTTCAACTAATGAACTTTTAACGTGATTCTTAATTTGGCCCTCATTTAATTTGTCTAATTTGTCCCAATGGAATTATGTGAGTTTATTATGAAATTTCTTATGTCCTTACCTTGCATGCAACTATCATTCTATACAAATCTAAAATATTTTCTACAATTTTTCGTAATTTACAGATAAGCTTGCGCGTTCTTGTAACCTTTTATTGTTTATGCATCATCTATTCAACTTAAGTTTCATTTCCATTGCCATTTTAATAATTTTCCTTACAAAAACATAAAGCTTCCGCCACGATTATGGAAAATTGCTTTACGTAGCAAATGACGTCAGTCGAGCTTTCATTTGGTCTTGTAAATCTTTTACCTGAAATCGACGCCGTATTATAATATTAGCATGCAGATCCTGATTGGAGGAAGGTGCTGCGTGAAGCAAAACTAATTTGTTTTCCTCTCCGACGCAGACGAATAAAGTATATGAATAAATTACGACGCTCATTAATTGAATTTATTATTTATTGTTCAACTAAATTAATAAAAATACTATACTCAGACTTGTGGTAGTGCGAGTTGTAAATTTTGTGATTCCTTGCTGATTTTCTAGTTCTCGAGCGTGCAATCAATCATTCATCATATCCCACCACCATGCAATCAATCATTCACCAGAGCAATATTATTTTAAGATGATCGTATAGTCATTCACTAATAATGGACCCTGGTTATTCGATGATGTATTGACAACATTCCTTTCCTTTATGGTGACTGACGTGACATAAATTCTACAGCGCAAAAATACATTTTTTTTCAGTCAAATTTTGGAGTTTGATTTTTCGCTGATCAAAGCAGCATAGCACGACAAAGCCGTTTGAAGCACAAATTAAACTGGGATTACTTTTTCTATCAACTTCATGACTGAAATTTTAATTAATTTTGACTGACGTTCCTCAATCTATACCCTTTTTCAGTTGGAAGCAAGACCATCCTAGTAACGTGCTCTTATTCCAGTATTGGATATAATGTTCAATACCAGCTCATCCTATACCAGCGCATGTCTCAAAACTAATTCTAGAAATTACTCCATAGCGTTTTTTCCTTTGAAGACGTTACATGGACCTTAAGTAGGAAATTTCTTCTTTCACAGCAGATGTTAAATTAATGAACTGTGGCAAAACAATTCCCTATTTCAGCCGTTATATTTAATCTTATCCCGTATTCTGAACTTGCTATCTTTTTCGGTGGTAGAGAGCAATATCATTTTAAAATAGGGTATCTCCCAAGGCAGACATAACATCTACCGCTACCTGACCCTAATAGTTTCTTTATGTGGCAAGTTTAATATCCACTGTCGGCGAGCGTTTTTCCCTTAGGAGACGTAATATTTGTCCTTAGCTTGCATTTTACAGTAGCAGACGCCATTGCTAGCTTATTCAATCTTCGAGCGCAGTAATTTATTCCAGCATACGTTTCTGCGTATTATAAGTAACATTCAGTGAATGTATGCATGTTTATTCACAGTATTTTATTCCAGCATACGTTTCTGCGCATTATCAGTAACATTCAGTGAATGCATGCGTGTTTATTTTACAGTATTTTATTCCAGTATAGGTTTCTGCGTATTATAAGTAACATTCAGTGAATGCATGCATGTTTATTGGCAGTATTTTATTCCAGCATACGTTTCTGCGTATTGTAAGTAACATTCAGTGAATGAATGCATGTTTATTTTACAGTATTTTATTCCAGCATCCGTTTCTGCGTATTATAAGTAACATTCAGTGAATGAATGCATGTTTATTTTACAGTAATTTATTCCAGCATCCGTTTCTGCGTATTATAAGTAACATTCAGTGAATGCATGCATGTTTATTTTACAGTAATTTATTCCAGCATCCGTTTCTGCGTATTATAAGTAACATTCAGTGAATGCATGCATGTTTATTGGGAGTATTTTATTCCAGCATAGGTTTCTGCGTATTATAAGTAACTAAATTCAGTAAATTCATGAAAAGTAATTCAGCTCAGTAAATTCATGCAAAAAATTCGTTTACCAGACGTGGCGTCGGGCGGCAGCGTAGACTACACCTACGAGACCCTGGGCATCACCTACTCGTTCGCTGTAGAGCTCCGGGACCAGGGACAGTACGGGTTCCTGCTCCCCGCAGACCAGATCATACCTACAGCAGAGGAGTTCTTCGCAGGCTTCTACACGGCCATCCAGAACTTCCAGTGATGGCCGGAGTGAATTTTCAATAAGGCTATTTCAATGTTTTCAGAGCCGGAATATAATAAACATGAAAATTGACCTTTATTATCCTGAGCTCATATGGCTTTTTAGCGCATTTTCTCATTCATGGAAAAAATGCACTATTGTGCTCGCCATGTCCGTCTGTCTGTCTGTCCGTCCGTAACCTCAAGTTTTCGTCGACGAGAACATGCGCTCTCTGTCACTCACGGCAGTGAGTACTGAGTTATATTTTTTAATGTTAATGTTCGACATTATGCTAATATTTAAACTTTAATGTCGAATCCATCTGTTAAAATATTGAATCGATTTAGGAATCTAGATTTTTGCGAACAGTGCTAAACAGTGCTCATTGTATTAGTTATTTCGGTCATATATAATACTGTCGTGTAATTTCGAAGCCCTAATCTTGCTGATTAATTTAAATGGGCCTATATGTTTCGGGGTAGCCCAGTTGAGACAGTTCAGAGGGGCAAATTTGGTGCAAGGAGTAGCGGGTTTGACTCCATCTTCTTTTGACAGTTGTGGCAAAAAACGGCAAAGGTCAGAAATCGACCTAGATCAAAAATCCGCATTTGAAATCTGGTCAAAGGGGACCGCGTAGTTAAGCACAATGGGTTTTGGAGCAGTGAGCTGCGTGTTCGAGACCCGCACCAACCTGTGAAAACTCTGCAATGTTTAGAATCGGCGACAAGCCTGATGGCCTGCAACGCTGACACCGCTAAATGTATGGTAGCTACGTATTAACACTCACAGGAGGAAAGATCTTCGTCTTGGTAAGAATAATGAGCATCAAGCATATGATATGAGATGACATGCATAAAACGATTGAATATTGATTGAAAATTCGACAGCGGAAAAAATGGAGTTTATGTTTGGAACTTCAAGTTGTATGAAAAACATTTCGGTGTGTATGTGAATGTAGTAAGTAGACTTGATAGACTTATTAGACGCTGCTGAACTAGGAGATGTTAGATGCAATTAAGGATGTTGTTTGACACGCTAGAGTCTGCCCGCATCTGGAGTTTTTGAACCGAAAAAGAAGTAGTTGAAAGAGTATAAAGTCATGCAAGACGAATAAATTGAGGTGTAAGGGCAAGCCATATGAAAAATCTTAAAAATTTTTAAGCTGGGAAGTCTGTGTTATCGACGTATCCGTGGTGATTTAAAATAAGCGAGATTATTCTCGTGGTTTGTCGTATTACTTGAGTAAGAAAAGGGAAAAACATCAGAGGCCACAGTCATAAACTGAAAAAAGTGGGAAAAACGCAACTGTGGGGAAAAATTCCTCCTACAGAATATTTTTCTAGCTGTACTGTCTTGTTATACTTTTTGACAATATATCGCACACCTTACTATATCAAGAAACCAGCACACACTTTCAATGACACACATGACACCAATTCAGCACACACATGACACCAAACCATAATACGGTCAAATGAAAAATACATTTCTTTATTTCATATATTCGCTGCAAAACTGCGGGACCAGCAATCACTCTTACCAGCAGAACAATTAAAAGTTTAGGTTCCCAGTTTAAAATAATTTCAGGCAAATCTCAAGTCAATAAAGGGACAACGATCAAGCAACGAAGTGAGAAATAGGCTTAGAAAAATTGTATTTATATTACTTTTCTATTTTAGTTTCATTATCTACAAGACATATGATTTTATCCACACGTCTGAGTTATTACTTGAGATACAAATAAGGCTGCGACTTCAGTATCCAATGCTCTGATTTCAGTTGGAAATCAAACGATGTTTCGTCGAGACATCTTCCCATCGATACCAAGACGCGGACTCGTGAAATGTCTCGCGCGAGTCCATTGCCGTGGCCGGCTTTTATCCACGTCACGAGGCCTCGCGTTACAATCTCCATTGCTTGTCCCATTTTTCTTACACCCGGATTTCCTGCCTTCACATTTTCTTGTAACGTTTTTTCGACGGAATTTCTCTCACAGGAAGCCAAGTCCTGTCTGTGGAAGAGCATTTCATTTACATACAAGAGCGATATATTAGAAGAGCCTCAGCATGCGAGCGCCCGTTGTTTCTGCAGCTTATCCGTAACGGCCTGATCTTCAATTATTTTTTTTTCCAAGGAAAATATAGAATATTCGAGGTGGACTGGTCGGACGCAGAATATTTTTCATTTCCATGGATATATTTCACTTCCATGAAGGCTTTATTTGAGGCTGTGGACAGTTATTTGCATTTGTTTGAAGCGTTCTATTCTAATTGGATTATACTCTTAGTAAATCATATTTTTTGCGTTTCGCTTTGAGCAAGTTTTGGACCTTCATTAGCGTGACATAATGTTTAATCAACACGAATTAACTTCAACGAATTTCTGATCAGAGCGACAGTCCTTCACATTTTTACACGTAATGATGAGAGGAAATCCGACAAGCATTTAAATTTAAATTTTGCATGGGTATCAATTGTGATAATTTCTTACTCGTTCCTAGCTAGAATATTGGGGAGCGTCCCTTGTAATAGAACAGTTACAATTTCTAGTTAACTAAAAAAGTTTTTTTCAACGTCATTGTTTTAACTTTTTCAATTACAATACGTCATTGTATGCAACTGAGTATTTCAAATTGAATATTTACCGTTGTAATGATCTTTCGTGCCGAGGTTAAATAATGATCTCGAGTTAACACAATTAATGTAATATTAATGAAAAGTGAACACTTAGATTAAGAAATCGAACAAGTTAACGCGAACATGGGTATCGTAATATGGTACAGAACTCTCTTCTTTCATATGCCAGGGCACAGCATAGTAGAGGTTTCTCACATCACAGTAACAATTTATATATGCACAACACTGAGTCGTCTTGATAGCCTCTTGTGATCTTCTATCCGGGTTGACTTCTCCCTACATGAACAAAATCGAAGTTACAATTAGTCGGGTAATTCCCTACCAGATATCTCACATAATATCAACACACCAATTAAATACAATATTGATAAATATCGACAGTTACACATACCTCTGCAGTTGTCTGAATTCACTAAACTAGTCCTTGCTTTGGTCCCACAACAAGTCAGCTCTGAATTCTTACACTGCTACGGGATAGTCAACACCTTAACTTATTCTACGTCCCACACATTAGTTACTATTATTCTTATTCTCCCTCTGTTTCCGAAAGTACACCTGAATATTCAGCTAAGATCCCTACAACCGTATGAGCTGGTCCTGCCTATCACATTAAATAGTCTTCGATGAGTTGTCACTTCAATTTTTTTCCCTTAATATTAAGGAACGCCTCTGCACTGGACCATTCTACGGAAATTTCTTAAGAATTATCCGAGAAGAGAAGAAAAAGAAACATATTTGCCATCATGTATGTAAAGTGGCGGCAGCCATAGTTTGTTTTCTGTAGTTATGTTAGATAATGGATGCACTTCTGGGCAAGTTGAGTCAAGGTAGATATAAAAAATTAAAACTTGTTATACAAATTATATAATTGGTATCAAATTTTAGAAATTGAAGGCTGACATAATTTTTTTCGTCCTGATCATAAAATGCTTTGCAGTTCAATTGCGAGTCCATAGAGAGCATACAGCCTCACAGATTTCAGGTTATTCCGTATTCCTTTCTTTAGCGACATAAAAATAAATAATACGAATGTTAAAGATGTAATATTAAATAATAAGTTGATGCTCCGTTGTTGACAAGACCACTTGATGTAACACAGTAAATAATATGTTTAGGCTTCGTTATGGACAATACTACCTGATGTAGCACAATAAATAATTAATAAGGCTATATATCGTTGTTGACCAGATAATAGCGTTGCGATAATAAAGTAGAGATAGTTTATTGATGACCGCCTTTCAGACTAGTGTGTTGGAACCAAAACGAAGATTATGAAGGAGCACAGTTTAGACGACGATCGACACGTATCAGGTATCATTAGTGCACCATCACATGTTGATGTTGCACTGGCGTAATAAAGTACGGAAGATGATGACGGGTCTCAAGCGTACGAATGAAAGAAAAACTTTCATCAGCAGGCTGTCGGTAGTTAATTTTACTGGGAAGGCGTTTAGAATTTCATAGTTCATTCGACTGTATGGTGCGCCATATCAATGCTCTGTTCCGAGACTAAAATTCAAAATATCCGTGATGCTACGCAATGATGTTGCAACACTTCAACGCCAAGCTCCGTGGCTAGAATTAAGAATGTCAGTGTTGCTACGTAAGTATGCTGTACCATGTGTGTATCAACGCCATGTTCCGTGACTAGAATTAAGAATATCAGTATTGGTACGCATGTATACCGCACCCTTATAAGCCATGTTCTGTGGTTAGAATTAAGAATATCAGTATTGCTACGCATGTATACTGTACCATGTGTGTATCAACGCTATGTTCCGTGGTTAGAATTAAGAATATCAGTATTGCTACGCAAGTATACCGCACCCCTTATAAGCCATGCTCCGTGGCTGGATTGCCGGAATAAACAAACAGATTCAGCGGCCCGCACTGAGCCGCAAAGAAAAGGATGCGGCTCCTCGTCCGAAAAATTGCATTGCCTTGCAGCTCGTTGTGGTTGCTGCCATGTGTACACAAATGTCGTATACTCATACTGGTTGTTACTGATAAAGCTGGATTGAGACAAACGGCTCGCAAAAACACTTTAACTAACTGATAAGAGTCAGTCGTGAATAATTGATCGTAGGTTAACCAACAATTTCGATAAGTAGAAATGCCGTTAGGATTTTTAAAGAGCTTCATAAGCGTTCAGAGGTTGATGTCTTGCACTGGTTAGCTGGAATGTCCGTCAGTAGGTATATAACGTTGTGCAATCAGGAAAAAATAGGACTGAAGTCTTTAACTTGAAATTTTAGTTGATCTAAAAATTATACATAATGTAGCCGCCGTTTTCCATGTTCACTGGAATTTTCAGTAATAGAATTAGCCTACTAGACGCAGTTAATTTCAAATGCACCACAGCATTCAGTGTTTGATCCTAGATGCCTGCTAGTACCCGAGGAACCAGCTATTCGGTTAGTTAGATTTCTTTGATAACTGAAATTATTGATTATCCAG